CATAGTGAGAGTCTTGTCTCAAAAAAAAAAAAAAAAAGAAAGAAATATTAGCTAGCACATATTATTTTCTATGAATTGTCTGTTTATATCCTTTGACTATTTCTGATGAATTTTCAGTCTTGTCCCTACTGTTTCATAGGAGTTATGTATTTATCCTTGAACTTAGAATTAGTACTGTTTTTTTCTAGCATGTCATTTGTTTGTTGTTTGTTTTGCCCCTGCTGTTCTTGGTTGAACAGAAATCTTTAATTTTGGTAAGTAAATCCATAAAAAACATAATGGCTTGCAATTTTGTTGTCTTATTTAAGAGGTATTTCCCTACCTCTTGGTCACAAATATGATCTACATTTTCTTCTATTAACTCTATAGTTTCCTCTTTTACATTTAATTGATCTGTAGTCCATATTTATATATGGTTAAAAGTAGAGTGGTGATTTATTGTTTCGACATATTGAGGGGATTTTCCCACTGTAATCTACTAAGTGGTTCATTCTTTTCAAAGTCAGTGTGGTGCCATTTTTCTCACATATCCATATGTACTTGATATTTTCTTGAGCTTTATTTTCTGTTCTATTGAGTTTTTTTATGCCTATATTGGACTTTTTTTATTATTATAGCTGTATAGTATTAATGTAATACTGACCTGGTAAATATGCCCTCTTTCTTCCCCTCCCCCACTTACCTTCACTGATCTTTCTAATCCAAATTAGCCTAGTTTTCTTTAAGGGCCTTTATTTTTCCATATAGATTTTGGAATTTCTTATTTTCAGTTACATATTTGTAGAAACTTGATTGTGATTACTGTTGTCTTAGTTTGGTCTGCTATAACAAAATTATCTAGCCTAGGTGGCTTAAACAATAAAAATTTATTTCTGGTAGTTCTGGAGGCTTCAAGATCAGGATGCTGGCATAGTCAGGTTCTTGGTGAGTATCCTTTCCCTGGTTTACAGTGGGCTTTCTTCTGTTTTCTCACATGGTGGAAAGAGAGCTAACTCAGTCTCTGGCCTCCTCTTACAGAGACACTAAGCCCATTCATGAGGTCTCCACCCTCATGTCCTAATTATCTCCTTAAGGCCTCCGCTCCAAAAACCACGTTTGGATTAGGATTTCAATATATGAATTTGGAGACTATACAGAACGTAGTCTATTTCTTTCTGCTCCTGGCCACCCCAAATTCCAGTCCTTTTTACGTGTAAAAATAAATTCATTTCATCCTAACAGCTATCAAATTCTTACCTTGTTCCAGCATTAACTCTATAGTCTGAAGTCCAAAGTCTCATCTAAATATCATCTAAAGTGGATATGAGTAAGATTTGATGTACAATTTATCCTGGGGCAAAATTGAACCCGTGAAACTAAATAAGACTGTATTCCAAAATATATAATGGTCAGACAGGCATAAGATGGACATTCTCATTCCAAAAGGGAGAAATAGGAAAGACAGAAGGGATGATGGGTCCCAAGCAAGTTAAAACCTAGCAAAGTAAATCCTGTAAGATCTTAAGGCTCAAGGATAACCATTAAAAAAAAAAAAGATACCCATTTTAATGTTCTGCCCTCCAGACCCCTGGGGGCAGTGATCTCTCATCCATGGCTCTGCCCAGTGAGAATGGTATTCCAGTGGCTCCTGATGGTCCTGGTTCCCTGAATCCACTGGGTGTTGGTCCTACCCTTAGAAACTGAGGTGGAGGCAGTTCAGTCCTTTGACCCAGTCCCTGCCACTCTGAGCCTGTGGCAAGAATAGCAGCCCTGATGATCTCTGACTCACCTTTGGGATCATTCCTTGTCTTGAACAGTGCATGTTTACTGCTGAATAGCTCTGTGGTTCAATCTGTAGGATCCAAAAATTCTGACAGACTTCCTTAATTTGTCCTATCTTCTCTGTTTCTTTTAGTCTCAGCTGTCAGTGTTTCTGCTCGTATGGTTCTGTCTCTGTTCCTGGTTTCTGTTGAGATTGCTGATTACATCCATGGTTCATACTCAAATCAATCTCCTTTCCAGACGGTCAGTTCATCACATCCCAGTGTTCTCATCTGAATGCATGATTTCCGTGTTTTGTAATATTGACAGGTTGAAAATTTTTTCACTAATTTAAGTTCTGGTTCTGTTTTGCTTAATAATTCTATCTTCAACTCATTTCTCTCCTCTCACCTTTTATTACAGCCCAGAGGAACTAAGCCTCTCCTTTCATACTTTGCTTAGAAATCACTTTAGTTACAGATCCAATTTTCACTGATTGATTACAAGTTGTACCTTCTGTAAAATACAAGAACACACAAACACAATTGAGCAAAGTTCTGTGCCATTTTACAAGGCTCACGTTTCCTGCACTTTCCAGTAATATGTTCCTCATTTCCACTGGAGGATTCATCAGAATGGTCTTTGCCATCCATATTTCTACTAACATTCTGTTCACAATTACTATGTATTCTCTTAAGACAGTTTTATTTTTGAGCCTTTATCAGAATCACTTTTAAAAGTCCATTCATGGAAATATTGGTATTTTCTGGCACGTATTTCAAAATTCTTGCATCCTCTGCTGATTACCCAGATCCAAGGCTGCTTCCACATTTTTAGGTATTTGTTACTCAGCATTCACTTCTCAGTCCCAATTTCTGTCTCAGTTAGTCCATTCTGCTGTACCATAATACCACACACTGGGTTACTTAAACAGAAGACATTTATTTCTCAAAGTTCCGAAGGCTGGAAGTCCCCAAATCAGAGAGTCAGTAT